TCCGAAAAACTCATGCCGACGTCACATTTTATTTGCTTATATTGACTAACTCTGGATTACGTTATACAATCATTGCTCACATACACAATAGATGCACTTTTTATTTACTTGAAAGATTATATAACAGTATTACATAAGTATCCCTCAGATACCACTGCAAAGCGATTGAAATGGTATCTTTACATTCATCACCTTCTAGCAGTATTTTCAGCGTGATTTGTTCTCGAAAATAGATTTTTTAAACTTTCAACTTCTATTCCCTGGGCGGGGATTAATTGTAGTAGAGTGTATAAATTACTTATTACAAATTTACGTGTGAACTTCATGATGGTGAAACTTCAGATATGGAGTAAAAATATCAGACACCTAATTGTCTAGGGATTATGAAAATAACCCTTTAAGTATGTCTTCTTACATAAAGTGGTGAACTCAGAGAAGTTATGAGATCCAACCACATTTGGTAAAGGAAAATCTATTGATATTTGCAAGAAGTGGTGATGTAAAAGCTAAAGCTTTATGCGAATATTTTAATGAAATGATGGTGAAAGATCAACAATAATCGTGATGGTTGCAGCTTGTCGATCAACCCTATGGTTATCGAGAAAGGAACTGTTTAATGACTACTTCAACATTTCAAAACAGATATTTTAATAGGATTATGAAAGCCCTAGCTGGTGTATATACCGGTCCTCTGTTAGTACTGTTTGGTATGCTTTTGCTGCAGTTTGAACTGAAAGAGACTCAAAGGATGCGATAATCAGTCAGGTTTACAAAGCGGGGAGTAGCGACTTGGTTACAAAATATCGACCTACTAGTTTAACCAGTGTTGCTGACAAACTAATGGAAAAGATGGTTTTAGGAAAGCCTCTCATGTCTGGAAAATCTGCTCATTGCAAGATGAGATTGGGCCGAGGTGAAACAAAGCAATATTCCGTGAGATCTAGTTTTTAAAAAGCTAGATGAAGCTTTTGACAAGGTCTTTCACCTGTATCTAAGATTAAAAACTGAAAGGTTTTGGGACCCGTTGTGAAATCATAAATTGGATAATTGACTTTCTCAATGATAAGAGACGATGGGTGCAAACAAATGGGACTGAAGATGCCACAAGTACTCGGAGTTTGACAACGCTTTAACCAGTAACACATTTTAATATGAAACGAATCAAAAGACAAAAGCGAGGAGGTTCGAAGATATATTTGATAGGCTATCAATATATCGAGGATCGACTGATCTAATCTGGCTAATGATTGCAGGGGATGTTGAGAACGGCGTGCCCACTCGTGATTTATTGCGGATGCATGACCGAGCGCCTTCAGTTGGGTGAGTCCAATAAAACTAATATGGTCAGCATCCAATGTCGTAGACTTAAAGAGCTGTTTATTTTGGGAATTTATTTACCGGTAAAGGGCTCTTTCAACATGGGAATCTGTAAAAAGTGGAGTTCTTCAGAAACTACTCTCGGCCTTCTTTTATCAACCTTACGCAAATGATTTGCCAATCGTAGCAATTCATCTGTCTTACTCTGTAGAATTGTGGTCTACTATAATATAAGTGCTGCTCTAATAATAGACCTAATCCTAAATTTGTAGATTTGTCATGATATAACTGCCTAATCTATAACATCTTACGTGGAAGTCACACCATCGACTACACCAACTCACTGTATCGTACCAACTACCATTACATGGTGTAGAACAAGGTTAGGCTAGAGAAGGAACAATATATTTAGTATGAATAGAAGATATAAGGTAACATTCAACAGGGACCACGCCTGCATGGGCGAGCCATGCCATTCGATCAACTCTAATTCATTCAGTTCATTGTTCGCGCCTTCTCCATCGTTAGGTATTTCTTCGCGTTAAATATTGAATATCTATTTTCCGAGTAATCTCGTATTCAGCTTTGAGGATTGTGTGGTTATGTTCCAATCCACTACAACTCTTTGCAGATGATACAAAGATTCGGGGACCCACAAATTGTGTCAGATAGATTAATATTACAGAATGACCTAAAAATCATTGGTTGACTGGATTAATAAGTGGGCATTACAAGTTAACTCTAACAAGAGTATGGTAATGCAAATACGTAACTATGATGTTGTGTTACCTAAATTAATGGACTATAAAGACCTAGGAGTCGTAATAAGCAACGACCTCGAAACCACGAGTAATTCCAAGTCTATCGTTTCCAGGGTCTTATGGGTTTTTCTTAAATCATTTCATTATTATGACGAAGACATAATCAACATATTGCTTGTCGTCTATGATCTGTAGCCAAGGTACAATTAGTGTGCCAATTCTGGAAATCGCGCACGCTAATTAGAAGGACAGTGGTGTTTTTTCTCGCTGAGTAAATTCTATTGTTTTGATCGTACATTACGTATCAAGACTACTGCTTTCACTTTAATTGAATTTATTTCAGTTAAAGTATTCTACTACAGTATCGTTTCTGTTTCTAAATTAGTTTGCCGTCTATACTTTTGAGTACTTTGTTTTCTATTGTATCTGTTTGTACGTTTGGTTCTAACAATTTACAGTTTTCCATTTTTTATGGTCATAGATCGTTTTTGTCTCTGAGCACTAATGCAACTAGTTCTTTTTTTAAAAAAAGACCCCTGTCTAATGACTGGAGTAGCTCCATTCATTAGGAATGCTATGCAATTCGCTATTATTGACAGTGTATCCCATGAGAGTGGGACGTGTGAATTAGTTAGTTGCCTCTTGAAATACAAGGGAAAAGAGCTGCTCATTGGTTTGGTCTATCGCAGTCCAGGCTGTGAGGTGAATGAGGTCCTGCTAAGCAGTCTCAATACTTGGTCACAAAGTGGTCGATGTCTAATCCTTCGGATACTTTAATGCACCTATGGTAGACTGTGAAAATTTGCGAACTGAATCGTCAGATAATTACTTCGAGAAGGAACAAGTTGTTGTGGTTATCAAATGTGCCCTAGTGAAACATGCGAAAGGGTCAGTCGGTCAGTAACAACGTAGAACTTCGTACGTACGTACATCAGTTCGAGTTGCCACACCACATTAGCACAGAGATGCAGTGGTCGATTCAAATCCCGTTGTGGTAGAGGTAATAAGAGTATAAGCAGTAATCGGGAAGATTAGTGTTTGGAGATGTTATTTAAAGAGTATAATACAGTGAAACAAACTTGGGAAGAGAAAAAAAAGAGACAAGGAGGAATCAGGAGATCAAAATTTGGGAGAACACAAAGAGTGGATGCACCTGCGCCATTGCAAACGATTTTGAGCCATGTCATTCAAGGTCTCTAACCATCGATTGCTACCATCTCGCGGTCCCCAACCAGGTAGTCTACATCTACCAACATGACTCAGACCACTTGTCAGTGAATTCATGGACTTGTGCCATGTTTTGGTCTGGCCGCCCCTGGCTTTCTTCAAACCTACTCCTATACCATCGCACGTCGAAGCAGTCGGTCGTTGGGCATACGTAACACGCGTCCCAGCCATCTCAACTGATGAAGTTTCACCACTTCATCAATTGATTTGCCATCCTTACCTAGTACCCTTTTCCTAACAACTGCATTGCTTACTCGATGGTCCCAGGATATACGAGCAATACTTCGAAGACACCTATGATCGAATACTAGTAACCTGCGAATATCCTCTACTCTTACCGTCCATGTTTCACTGCCATAAAGTAGGACGGAACGAACTGCTGCGCAGTAAACCCGTCCTTTGGTTGATAGACGGATATCTCGCCTACGCCATAAATGACGCAAGTTGGCATAAGCTAGTCGAGCCAGCCTGGTTTCCTCTAGCCTGCCCTTCACGAGCTTTGGTTAGGCGTCGATGTATTATGGAAGCTCATATTTTAGACACTATATTAGTCAAACTGATTCCTCCATGATTGTCACAAGAGGACTTTTGTCCTTCCTTAAAAACTGGCACAATCAGTGATTGAGATCAGTCAGATGGGATTACGTCCAGTTCCCGAATTCTACCTAAGACCTCAGTTAATCTCACTGCTAATACTGAACCACCATCCTTAAAAATCTTACGAGTAAGCCCGTTAGGGCCTGCTGCTCTCCCTCGCTTCAGATTTCCTATGGCTTTTTCAACTTCGTAAAGAGTCGCTTCCTTCACATGTGAAAGTAGCGACTAGGTACGACCCGGATTCTGAATCATCAGGATGAAAAGAAGGGGAAATGTTCCTGCTCTATGGGGAGATAGTAATGCCGCATCATTATTGGAGGAGGACTTTGGTAAGGCTCAAGTGTTTTCGAACTACTTAATCAATGTATATACCATAGAAGCACCCTTCCCGCCAGCGCATACGAATCCCACCGCACATACACTGGACTGCGTGACCATTCATGAACTCGATGTCTTTGGTCTGCTAAATAATCTTGACTTTGATGAATTGCATCCTAGGGTACTAAAGGAATTATCTAACTTCGTTACGAACCCTTTAAGTATATGCTTCAATCTGTCCGTAATGCAAGGTTGTTTACCAAAAGACTGGAAGAACGCCATAGTAAGCCCTGCCTTCAAAACAGGTACAGAACATAAGCCTGAGAATTACCGACCTGTAAGCCTAACTAGTGTAGTTGTTAAAATCCTAGAAAAGATTATTCGGAAGGAGATGTTTAAGACCGGATCCTTTCAGAGAGGCAGCATGGTTTTAGAATGGATTATTCTTGTTTCACAGAACTAGAGGCGACTTGATTACAGTCTACAAATTGCTTAGTGATAAATTTGCACATAATATGCCCTCATTTTTCTTGTCTTCCAAAAACAGAGAATTTACGAGGACACTCCAAAAAGTTCACAAGCCGAGAACAAATTACTTGTCAGCTGACTATCGATTTTCCCATCGGGTCATCAACGAGTGGAATTCGCTACCTCAGCACGTGGTTGCGGCTCCATCCGTCGACTCTTTCAAAAGAAAGTCGGATCAACTGAGAGACTATCATTGCGAGGACTAACACAGGCCATCAAATCTCCTGTCCTTTCCAAACTGAAACTGAACTTGGAGTTTGGTTGCGCGGTTTATTTTTGTAAGTCGGTACGTTTCGGCGTGCTTTTGGTATTCGGAAATAATATGTCTAGCACTTAGTAATGCGTAAAGAACTGTAAATTATATTACATTAATCTAGTGCTACACTTCACTAGATTTTGAAGCTTCTACTGTCCTTGGGCAATTATAACTAACACAGGTGATAGCCCATCTGATAGTAGTAAACGGACCGACTGAAGACAAATTTATCTGTTTGTAAGTGCTTACATAGGTCTTCGAAGAGAAGTGAACTGTTGGCATTCAATCATGTTAATTTGCATTGAGTAAATAAGCAATTGAATAAAGAGGCCTTAGGATAGTTGTCTGGAAGAACTGTATAAATACAATTCCACTCAAACATTTTTGTGAAAGGACTACGTGATTAAAATGGTTAGAACACTAGCGAATTCAGCCTGTATGATTCTTGGTTTTTGTTGCACTGGTGTTTGTGTGTATGTAGCTATTGTTTGTATACAGCATTTTAATATGTACCAAGTTAGTTTAATCAGTATTCCCAACTGTAAATTTCGTTTGCTAACACAAAGCACTATTAGCCTAGTAAAATAAAAAAAGGTTGAACACTTCATATAAATTGCGTTTTCATATATTTAACCTCAATTATGTGTGGAAACTTCAAGAGTTCAGCTACAAAAATGCCTTGTTACCTCGACTAACAGCTGTTCTCCTAGTACATTGAGAACCTTACCTTGATTCGTGAGGTCACTTCATGACACATCATAAATAACTAACTGCTTACTAAGTGTTTAACTGGTTCATTTCAGAAGTTAACAACGAACTTCTTCAAAGTAGTTGGTACATTTATTTTCTGTTCACATACAATTTACTAAAAATCCTTTTAATATGTGGATGAATACTTTTGACGCAGTACAAATGTCGTTACTCTGCATATACATCGCGTGAGGAAACAATATTGTGAGAAATGCATTTCACTTCACCTAATAGTTACGATCGCTACAACCACAACACTATTATGCGGAACGCTATTCCTGATCTCCTGAAACCACGCTCTAAACTACACGTTGGAGCTTTTAACGTACGAACACTGTGCCAAATAGGACAACAGGCTTCCTTAGCTAGGACTTTAGAATCCAGCGCCATCGATGTGTGCTGCGTCTCCGAAACGCGCATACAGGATCCGAGTAGCGTCATTCGTCTGACCTCACCATGCCAAAATGAGGAACCGACTCGATTCACACTTCGTGTATCTGGAAGCCCTGATTCTGTTTCCCGTGGCCTCACCGGTGTAGGTATAGCATTGAGTCCTAGGGCAGAACTAGCTCTCTTAGAGTGGATCCCAGGAGACAGTCGTTTGTGCGCTGTCCGACTGAACGGAACAGTAAGGATCCGAAAAGATAGGGACACTCGTCGTTGCCTCTTCGTCGTCTCTGCCTATTCTCCCACTGACTGCAGCTCAGTGATGTAAAAGATGAGTTTTACAGAAAGCTCTCCGACCTTCTCCGAAAAGCTAGGCGGTCAGATGTAGTAATAATGGCTGGTGACTTTAATGCTCAAGTAGGTAAACTAAGCGATAGGGAAAGACACCTGGATGGATCTTATAGCATCATGACTCAAAGAACAGATAATGGCGACCGTCTGTTGCAGCTATGTTCAGATAACCGCCTGTTTCTTGCAATTACTAACTTTAAGCATAAGGAAAAACATCTTTTAACATGGCGACCCCCTGATTCGTCCCAACGTTGGACCCAAATAGATCACATCGTTATCAGCCACCGATGGAGGGGCTCGATAGAAGACTGTCGTTCATTCTGGAGCACATGCTTAGATTCAGATCATGCTCTAGTACGAGCGCGTATCTGTCTGCGTCTTACTGGACGTAGGAAAGACGCTGCAAGTAAACCTCTTAGGGCCCTACTTAATGATAGTCAAGCTAAGAGTATATTTCAGGAACAACTAGGAAAACAGTTAGGCAGCCATGTAAGTGATGCCCACCCCGAGGCATCGTGGAATGATATCCGAAAAGCTGCGGAAACAGCAGTGACATCTTCTAGTACGGTAAACAGTAAGGTTAGGGAGCAACACTAGATATCAGCAACATCTATCGCAATGATAGATGCTCGGAAACTCATTCCATCTGGCTCTGAACCTAATGAAGAGCGGAGTCAGCTTAAGCGCAAGCTGACAAGAAGTCTACGCAATGATCGTGGGCAGTGGTGGTTAGCGAAAGCAAGAGAAATGGAAAAGGCAGCGGCGATAGGTAATAGCAGACAATTGTTCAGACTTGTTAAGGAAACCGGTATTAGGAAACCGACTGTTAGCGAAACACTCTCAGAGAAGGATGGACATATTATACATTCTCAATCCAGGAGATTGGATCGATGGGCAAAATAATTCACGGATCAGTTCAACTGGCCTTCAGTCACACTTCGATTTCCCACGATCTCCAGTCAACCTGAATGGCAAGTTAATGTAGGTCCTCCGTCTCTTTACGAAGTTGAAAAAGCCATAGGAAATCTGAAGCGAGGGAGAGCAGCAGGCCCTAACGGGCTTACTCGTAAGATTTTTAAGGATGGTGGTTCAGTATTAGCAGTGAGATTAACTGAGGTCTTAGGTAGAATTCGGGAACTGGACGTAATCCCATCTGACTGATCTCAATCACTGATTGTGCCAGTTTTTAAGGAAGGACAAAAGTCCTCTTGTGACAATCATGGAGGAATCAGTTTGACTAATATAGTGTCTAAAATATGAGCTTCCATAATACATCGACGCCTAACCAAAGCTCGTGAAGGGCAGGCTAGAGGAAACCAGGCTGGCTCGACTAGCTTATGCCAACTTGCGTCATTTATGGCGTAGGCGAGATATCCGTCTATCAACCAAAGGACGGGTTTACTGCGCAGCAGTTCGTTCCGTCCTACTTTATGGCAGTGAAACATGGACGGTAAGAGTAGAGGATATTCGCAGGTTACTAGTATTCGATCATAGGTGTCTTCGAAGTATTGCTCGTATATCCTGGGACCATCGAGTAAGCAATGCAGTTGTTAGGAAAAGGGTACTAGGTAAGGATGGCAAATCAATTGATGAAGTGGTGAAACTTCATCAGTTGAGATGGCTGGGACGCGTGTTACGTATGCCCAACGACCGACTGCTTCGACGTGCGATGGTATAGGAGTAGGTTTGAAGAAAGCCAGGGGCGGCCAGACCAAAACATGGCACAAGTCCATGAATTCACTGACAAGTGGTCTGAGTCATGTTGGTAGATGTAGACTACCTGGTTGGGGTCAGTCAGTCAGTTACAACGTAGAACCATGCACTTATGTGCATCGGTCCAGGTTGCCATACCGCATCAGCACAACAAGATGAACACCGGATTCATAACAGTGGTTAGGTAAAAGGTGGTAATATATAAGAGAAAGATTGCATATAGAGATATAGTACAAGAAGAAAGAATTGGTTAGTAGAAAGAAAGATATGAAGCGATTTTAATCTCTTAGTTTAAGGGAAGACAGGGAGTGTATACACCGACGCCATTGTGATCGATTCTGAGCCATGTCACCAAGAGTCTCCAACCATTGGTTACGATAGTCACGCGGACCCCAACCAAGTAGTCTGCATCTACCAACATGGCTCAGACTAGAAGTTAGTGACTTCAAGCACTGATGCCACGTTTTGGTTTGGCCGCCCCTAACTTTCTTCCAACCATCCCCAGCACCGGATAGCATTGCACGTCGTGGTAATCGGTGTTCAGGCATACGTAACACGTGGCCCAACCATCTCAGTCGATGAAGATTCATAACCTCATCAACTGATTTACCATCCTTTCCTAATACCCTGCGTCTAACCTCATTATTACTTACCCGATTATCCCAGCAGACGCCAGCAATATTTCTAAGGCATCTGTGGTCAAATACTAGCAGCTTGCGAGTGTCTTCTACTCTTAATGGCCATGTTTCGCTACCGTAAAGTAAAACAGAACGGACTGCCGCGCAGTATACTCGTCCTTTTATTGATAGACGGATATCTCGCCTTCGCCACAGGTGACGTAAGTTGGCAAAAGCCAAACGAGCTTTTCGAATCCGTGCTGAGATTTCGTCCGATACCAACCCATTAGGGCTGATCAGACTTCCAAGATAAGTGAAGTTGTCAACGCGTTCGACTACTTCACTCCCTATCCTTAGTTCAGGTGTTAACGCAGACCAGTCCTGAAGCAAAAACTTGCATTTCGAGGGAGAGAAGCGCATTCCAAACATTCTGGCATTGTTGCTCAGTGCTACCAAAAGACTTTGCATTTTGTCAGCGTCTTCACCAAACAGGACTATGTCATCTGCGTATTCTAAGTCGATAAGTGGACCTGCTGGAAAGAGATCAATACCCGAGAACTCAGTCGACGAGAAAGTTATTTCCATCAGTAGGTCTATGATGAAGTTAAACAAAAATGGGGAAAGTGGACATCCTTGACGGACACCACTTGAGGTTGCAAAAGTAGATGACAGTTCGCCATAAGCTCTCACTCGACTAGTAGTGTTCGAGTAAAGAGCCTTCACAAGGTTTATGTACTTCTGAGGTACGCCTTTCAATGACAGACACTGCCACAGAACCTCGCGGTCTACCGAGTCAAATGCTGCTTTTAAGTCAAGAAAGACCACCATCGTCGGACGCCGATAAGTGTGCCTGTGTTCTAGAACCTGACGAATGGTGAATATGTGGTCGATGCAGCCACGACCAGGTCTGAAACCAGCTTGGTTTTCTCGTGTTTGCAGTTCACGAGTCTTAGTTAGGCGTCTGATAATTATCGAGGCTAGTATTTTAGATATTATATTAGTTAAACTAATCCCTCTGTGGTTGTCACAGGATGATTTTGACCCTTTCTTATATATTGGGACGATAAGTGATTGTGACCAGTCAGATGGAATAACGTCTAACTCCCAGATCTTAGCTAAAATATTAGTCAACCTAATCGCTAAAATTGGACCACCATCTTTAAAGACTTCTGGAACCAGTCCATCTGGTCCAGCTGCCCTTCCTCGTTTCAGATTATCTATAGCCTTTTGAACTTCAGCAAGAGTTGGGGGACCTACTTCAATGTTCCATTCACGCTGTCTGGGAATGGAGGGTAGTTGTAGAGTCGCTGAAGGCCAGCTGAACTGTTCCCTAAAGTGTTCCGCCCATCGTTCTAAACGTCTGGACTGGGAATAGATGAGAGTATCGTCTTTTTCCGATATAATCTCACTTACACTTGACTTATTAATTCCAGTTTCTTTTATTAGTCTGTAAAGTTGTCTTGTGTTCCCTATAGTCGCCGCCTTTTCCATCTCTTTTGCTTTCGTTGCCCACCATTGCTCACGGTCGTTTCTTAAACTTTTTCTTAACCTAGATCTGATTTGTTGTCGCTCTTCATCATGTTCGGAACCTGATGGGACAAATTTGCGAGAATCCATCAGTGTGATAGACTTTGAAGAAATCCACTGGTTCTTTGAAACTCTGTGGTTTAAGTTGCTAATAGATGTCACTGCTGCTTCCACAGCTGCTTGTATGTCTTTCCAAGCAACATCTGGGTCAGCCTCGTGTTCAGAACTACTTAAGTGTGAACTCAGTTGTTCTTGGAACCTATTTTTGGTTTTCTCGTTGCTCAATTCAGTTCTAATGGGTCTTTTTAATGTGGCTTTTTTGCGTCCGGTGAGGCGCAAGCAGATGCGTGCCCGTATTAGGGCATGATCGGAGTCCAAGCAGGTACTCCAGAATGAGCGACAATCTTCTACCGACCCTCTCCAACGATGACTGATGGCAATATGGTCTATTTGAGTCCATCGTTGGTTTGGTGTAGGGGGTCGCCATGTTAGACGATGTCTCTCCTTATGCTTAAAATTTGTGTTTGCTAACAATAAACGATTGTCTGAGCATAGTTGCAGCAGACGATCGCCATTATCTGTTCGTTGTGCCGGTATACTAAAATATCCACCTAAATGCCTTTCTGTTTAGTTGAGACTATCTATCTGGGCATTAAAGTCATCTGCTACGAGTACTATGTCTGAACGTTTAGCTTTCTGAAGAAGTTCAGAAAGCTTCCTGTAAAATTCATCCTTCACTTCATCTGAGCTGCAGTCAGTGGGAGCGTAAGCAGAAACGACAAAAAGGCAACGACGTGTGTCCCTATCCTTCCGAGTTCTTACGGAGCCGTTTAGCCGAACAGCACATAGACGACTGTTGATGGGGATCCACTCTAGCAGTGCTTGTTCCGCCCTCATGCTTAGTGCTATGCCTACACCTGCCAGTCCACGAGAACTGGCTATCGGGTCACCAGATACACGTAGGGTGTATCTCGTTGGCTCTCCGTTTTGCCGAGGTGAGGTCAAGTGAATGACCACACTGGAATCCTGTATGCGTGTTTCGGAGACACAGCATACATCGATGGAAAGAGACTCTAGGGTTTTAGCCAAGGAAGCCTGCTGACCGATTTGACATAAAGTGCGTACGTTGAAAGCTCCAATGTGTAGTTTGGAGCGAGGTTTCAGTAGACCTGGGACAGAGTTTTGAGCACTAGAATCGTTGGCTATGGTGACACTTGAGGAAGAAGCCGAAGGAGGAAGTTTAGGGTTGAAAGTCGATGTAGGAGGAATAATAGGAATTGAAGAGGAAGGTTGATTATGAATACAGTGGTCTTGGGTGCTGTTAGAGGTATGAGGGCGGTTATCACTTCCCGGTTGCCCACACCGTGGAAGGGTTATTCTGGAGGTACCTGAAAAGGAAATTGGATTAGAGGCGGTCTCGGCGACCTGAGAGCGTGACCGCAGTGCCCAAGGGACAACTGCTTGAGGCCGGTCGCGCACGGCCTTTCCGTGGGAGGTTTTTGACATGTTAGCTCCGTTCTTCAAAGGGCCTTACCGCCGGAGACGGAAATCCGTGAGGTAAAATGAGGTGTGCATTTTTAGGGTCGACCTTTTCTAACCCCACCCCTCCTTGTGGGAAGGCAGTATCGCTGTCATGCTGATTGTCTGAAGGAAACACCTTACTGCTGTCACACCTCTGTACAGTCAGCAGTACGACTTCGCCTTCGGACCTTAGGTTTGTTGCTTTTAGTCTTACCGCTCTTCAACCGACCTGTCTGACATGGTAGGACCTTGAGGAACGGTTGTTCCAGCCAGTATAGCTCGGTTGCTTCGTCACGATAGGCAAGCCCGACCACCACGTCAAGGTAGCAACAACGGTCGGGACCTGGTTGGGGACCGCGAGATGGTAGCAATCGATGGTTAGAGACCCTGAATGACATGGCTCAAAATCGTTTGCAATGGCGCAGGTGCATCCACTCTTTGTGTTCTCCCAAATTTTGATCTCCTGATTCCTCCTTGTCTCTTTTTTTTCTCTTCCCAAGTTTGTTTCACTGTATTATACTCTTTAAATAACATCTCCAAACACTAATCTTCCCGATTACTGCTTATACTCTTATTACCTCTACCACAACGGGATTTGAATCGACCACTGCATCTCTGTGCTAATGTGGTGTGGCAACTCGAACTGATGTACGTACGTACGAAGTTCTACGTTGTTACTGACTGACTGACTGATTATGTGTACTGTAGAGTTTTCTCACTGTCAAGTCGTTATGCACTAGAACTAGTTATTCATTTGTTGCATAAGCATTTTCGTTGTATAGTGTTACATATCGGACAGTGCGTTGGCTTCATTCTAGGTCATAAACACTTTGAAATGTAATCAAGGTATAAAGTAACTTAATCTACGATTATTCCAGTGAATTTAAATAAGAATCAGAGGGCTTGTGATCAAATCTTCAGCGTCTATCGATTTGTTTGCAATAAGGCATGATTTGGTTCTCTTTTATGTACTTTGTGACTTCGCAGTAGTGTTGTGATTGTGTATTAAGTGATGTGTTCAACGTACGTAACTATGAATTTGGCGAGACTATAAATTGTGGACTAACCAATCAGGTATAAGAAAACAGGTATTGGATTTTGGCACGAAATTCACTCATCCATTTAGCTAAATAGAGTTTTGGCATTTAGCTTATGTCAGTTCGTGATGGAAACCCTAAATCTAATTCCTAGCCTTAACCATCACCTGTAATTCATAATTCTAATTCCTCACACAGGTTTATAACACTCATTTGGTCCCAGATATTATGTGGACATTCTCAAGGTCAGTTTAGCCCATAAATTATAGTCTCATCATGAATTCTTGTCTGCTTATTAATGACTCGTTTATTCGAAAACTACTAGCAAACCAAACGTTTCATTTTTACAACTGTATATTTCACAGATTGAAATCATGAGTCAGTTGAAGCTAGACTGTATATCATAAATACGTTACTTTAATGTTCCATGCTGCTAGTTACTGCTAGATAAAAATTCATGTAGACAGATTTGGAATAAAATAGATAAATATATAAAATAAAAGCCTGTATAGTTGTGAGATCTTCGTTGTCTTTAACAATAACCTATCCGTGCCTTTAACGAGACTGATCTCGTACCACATCTCTACAGATAGATTTAGTTTCGTATTCAAAAACTGTTTGGCCAGCATTCACATCCGATAATGCTTTTCAGGGATCGATCTATCAGGAAATATATGCAGATGACAGTTCTATTAGTTGGAGACCCTTATATAAACTGGTCTTCTTATCACCTGGGGGGGGGACAACACAAACAGGCTTGCGGTTTGTTTCTCTCTTTCTAAATATAAAATGTTGCTTAAGAAGTTGCCTGCGACAGTGCTTAGACTTATGATAGGGATCAGAGTATTTGAGTACGTTAATCAATTGATTTGTATTGCAAGTTTTATCATACATAGTAGATTGGTGTTCGACGGAACTCTAATCGGTTTTTGCCAACCTCTGTCACTTGTGATGTAGAGATGTTCGTCTACCAACTAAAAGACGAGTTTACTGCTCAGCAGTTTGCTCGATTCCACCTTGTGGCTTTGAAACGTGACCTTTAATAATAAAAGATATTCGTGGATTACTAGCATTAGATCACCAGTGCCTTCGAAGCATCGTTGGAGTACATTGGGACTACGAAGTGAGCAGTGTCGAGATTAGCCGCAATGTATTGGGTAAAAATGAGAAATTGATGGATTAATTACTTAATCTTATATGCAGAGGTTGTTGAGACATGTATTGCGTCTGATTAACCACTTCGTACCTTGATGTGCTAAGCCTGTTGTTCTAGGTTGGGACAAAACTGGAGATGGCCAAACAAAGATATGTAGCTAGCCTATGAAGTCATTGGCTGTTGTATGTAACAATGCTGGTAATTCCTGTTACGCGGTTGAGGTATGCGTTATTATCGTAACCATTTCTTAGAAACTTTGGAAGACATGACTCAGAATCTGTCACAATGGCCAAGATATATTCACTCTTTTTCTTCCCTCAGATTCTGAGTTTTAAATGATTCGTCAGTTTTTCGTTCCAGGAATTGATTGTTTTCAAATAACATCGTTTATGTCTAGTTTTTTTCTAATACTGTCGCTGGTACTACTACTGTGCCAAGACTTGTCTTGATAAACTCACCTAACAGTGCTAATATGAAGCGGCTAATTTAGTCGATGCACATATGTGGCAGGTTTTTCGCTGCGTGTGACTGATTTACTAATTCCATTCAGGAAAACAATGTAATCTGAATATTCCAAGTTATTCATAGTGTGTCTTTCTATAAAACTTAAGATGTATAAAACGTTTTACACATAGTCGTTTTTTAATAAAATGTCAGCAAATCGCTCCACTAGATAATCAATGTTGGTGTTTAGTTTCAAACTCTTTATCAATAACATGTTCATAAAACTCAAACAGCTTTTAAATATTTTCCTCAACTATTGTAATCTTATTTTGTCAAACATTAATTACTCAAGCTGTTATTTTAGATTTGATCTACTCATGGACTCCAAGCGCCCTAAATTATGTTCTCCGGAAACTGATAATGCTGACAATGAAGTGGATATCCTTCAACCTAGAGAAGTTGGAATCACTACGTTCGTACAACCTTTAGTTCAAGGTTTTGAGGCAACGTTGAAAAATAGGTATGTTTGATTTTAAACACTACATATATTCATACAGATGGGAAGACTTCATTGTCCGTGAATTTAGAGGTCAAAATTATGCAAAGCTTACTGATTTAGCACCAATTCCGGATCCTACACCTGAAGTAACTTTTAGAAACACTTATTTATATACTAGGCTTATGATTTTAATATGGAAAAGAAACTTGAAGTTCATTTGTCTGGACTTCAAAATTTGAGCCGTGGTGATAGTGAATTATTAAAAATTAAAGTACCTCAGTTATTTGAGATAATTAAAAAATCAGGCCCCAGATAATAAAGCAGACAGAACACAGATCCACCAAGCAATACGTGCATTGTTCCCATCACTTGAAAGCACGACATCAAAAGACGGCAATGAAAATATGATTGTTGTACATCGAAAAGACCATCCTGAAGGTTAGTTTCTAAAATCACAATTATTATTGCTATCGTTTTCAGCCAAAGGTTCACGACAGTCTAAAAGAAGAGCCAATGGTATGTCTAAAAGTGCACCATACTGCCATTTTGTACTTTACAAGGAGGGTAAAGACACACTTAGTGCTATTCAAGTTCTCAGTCGTTTCCTACAGTATGTTTTATCTTATTACTCCCTTTTGATTTTAAAGTGTTGGACCCAGTATATTTTCATTTGCTGGTACGAAAGATCGTCGAGCAATTACCACACAATTTGTTACAGCGAAAGGGTAAAATTTATTCAGATAACCAATTTTCATATAGTATAAATTCGAAAACACTATCATTGCTGAATGCACGGCTTCATGGCTTACGTTTAGGCAATTTTTCATACGTTTCTTCTCCTCTGTTTCTCGGAGATTTAGATGGAAATCAGTTTGTAGTTGTGCTAAGGTTAGTTTATTAACTTCACAGCAATATTGCTTTTTCGTCTATAGATCAGTGTGTGCACCAAGATCCGTCGTTGAAACTGCAGTCGGGACTTGGAAAAACACTGGTTTTGTGAACTATTACGGTCTTCAAAGATTTGGGCATTCTTCCAAATCCAAAAGTTTCGAAATTGGAAAGTATGATAGATCTGATCATTCTGTCTCATAAATATCTATTTGTTAACTTAATTCTATCCAAATTTCTCTGAGACCTAATTGTATTAATATATATAACATCAGAAGTCCACAATTTGAACGCCAACAGTAGTTAATGGGAAATGGTACACGATTATTCAATAGTAATTGGTAACATGATGAACTTTATTGACTTGTTAACTTCCCTGACAGTCCTCGTCTGAATAGCAACCTAAATTACTAAGCCGTTAGCCACGCAATAATTTATCTTTTTTTGTAAACTAAGATGTGAAACAAAAAATCCTCAGTGATTTTAAGATTTTGGACAGTAGTCAATTTTCATTCCATTATAACCGCAAACTTTTTTCATTTTTAGGGCTATAAGATAGCCACCAAGTTTAATGGCAGTAATTAGTGAAACATTTCACAATCTCTTATGTTTAATAGATTCGATGAATTGCACTGTAAAGCAATTATTATTTTATGTAATGTTGGTGAATTTCGGGTATAAATATAAAAAGAATGTTTAACTGTTCTTCGACGCATATGAATGGTAGGTATCAAGAGATTAATTAGCAATTATAATTTAATCTATCAGTAATTCAAAATGATGCCGATACAAATATAATGTGAAGAAACTTCTGTTATAATGCACAACGAATATCTATTTTGTGTTTAATAACGGACCCTAAACAGATAGATGGAATAGCAACGAGATCTTCCCTAGGTCCAATATTCGCCTATATTTTTCTAATCGGACTGAAAAATGGACCACTACATGATAATCATAATGAAGTAAAATGCTACTGCCGTAGATGACAAGCTAATTATATGTGGTAAGACGGTCAACTCACGAAAACTATTAGAAACATTTAACAATGCATACCCTTAGATTAGTTCCACACGTGAAGTGCCATAATTAGATAGAATTTTTTGACATCCTTCTCTCTCAAAGGTTGAATGGTTTGTATTAAAAGGACACAAATTAGTTCAAAGCATGTTCCACTCAGGATTATGTTGGAGCACGCTGGCTGGACCATTTTTAGTCGATCAGCACCACTAGATAAATGGAGAAGACTAGAATATTCCTATGTATCAGTAACACGTATACCAATATTTTTCTTACTGTAATTTTATCTCCATTCAGTTTGGTTTGCTTTAGAATATTATTACGTTTCTGTCCTAGCTGTGTTCTGATTTCGGGATCAGTTAAGTGGATTAGCGTATGCAGAATACTTGGTAACAGAGGTAACTGAATTGAATAGAGATGACTAACAGTTCGGTGCAAAAAAATGTTTTTAGAAAAAGATCTTGGGACAACATATTCACTTCCACAGCTTCATATCCTTGCATCATAAAATCAATCTATTTAAATCTCGAAGTCACAAAATTCAAAAACTACTCTGAGGATAATCTTAACGAGGAATTAGACAAACTAATGTTGTCGCTACTAAAAAATGGATACTTTAGTAATTTCATAAGGAAATACATTACAGAACCCAAAAGGAAGACATGAACTTCCACAGTTGAGAAGGAAACTCTACACTTAAAACTTAATTACATAGGTAATATAGCGAGTAAGGTTCTATAAGTTGTTTAAATGCATCTGGTTATTCGACATGTTAGTACCTCCGAATTACACGTAACTTTCCAAACGAAGCCAATACTAACTCAGCAAATTAAGGATACGATACCAGTGATAGATACATCTATACCCGCCTATCAATTTAACTGTCCCTGTGAGGCCAGTAGCATCGGTCCCTAAGCGATCGTAAACACGTACAGTCAGGATTAGGAAAAGGCGTTACAAAATTTATTGATAGTATCATTTCTCACCTAATTGATTGTATGCGTAGCATCAGGATTGAAAATGTTTTCTCAGTTATACATCAAGTTCCTGGTAATTTATTAAAAGGCGCAAAATAATATTTACTCCTTATAGCTGAAGCAATTGGAACCGATTTCAAGAAGCCTAACTTATATGTACAAAAAAGTCCATTCAAACTTGGGCCACATTAGTACTCTTCCATTCTTAGTCCCAATTTTATCCTTTCCCCTTTATCATAGTTTGCACTCTCTCGCAGGACACTTTTTCTCATCTTTAGTTATGCATTCATCTTTATTATTTTACATGATATGCTTATAAATAATTATTCCTATTATTATTATTGTTACAATTCTTATTTATTAGATATCTTATTCGTTCGAAGTGGGCGGACGCTATTGACCTTATCTTGAAACCAACTTATGCAGGTAGTGTATGCTATACTTTACATAATATTATGTTAGATTTACCTTTTCTTAGAAAAGTTAAAGAAAAATTCTTACAATCCGGTGATGCAAAGGGTTGTGCTGACGATTGTCCATTGGGTATAGAAAAAACTTTACTGTTAGGTATTGCGAAGTATGGCAAAACTTTGAATGCCATCCAAATGGTATGTCTATGTAGAACACAGTTAAATAATACCTTTTAATCAAACTATGATCTTTTGTTTATCTATGCTAAATTATAAAAGCAATTACCTACTAATTTTATAAACAGTTATGTCCCAGGATATGTGGCTTTTAGTATTAGATTGAGATTCTAATTCTTTAAACACTGTCACCCCTTTTACCATTAGAATTTATTTCTAGTCTAGATTTTCTAACTACAGATTAACACCGAATGTGTTTATCTCATAATATTAAGAAGTTAGTCCGACGTATAGCCTCCATATAAATTTGTAGTGCAATATAGCACTCATCTAAGTAGTCTCATGCTGAAAGACATTAAAATACAGCTTCCACACTTTTCTATCGTCCTATAAAAACGGATCAAATTATTTTATGAAGGATCCATGAAATTGTTCTGATGAGGCCAAATTTGTTTGCAATTATTTAAATCCAGTTTGGACTGGAAGATTGAAAAACACAAAATCACAGAATTAAAATGTATTAGGTCTTTATTGCTGTAGACCTTTGATTCTACATTAAAAACGTTATAACTTGTTTGTTTCCAAAATAACGAAAACCAAATCACTGAAAGGAAATTCTAATGGTTCATTATTTAGCATAATACAGGAAGACTTTTCTATCCATCAATACCACAAGCAACTAATATTTTGTAGCAAGATTTAGGTTAACTGACAATCTAAATTAAAGTTTTCCATTTATCTGCACTACTTCCTATAGCATACTCATTTAATATAGTAACTGTGCTTAAAGTTGTGATTTATTTGGGTAAACAAGGCTTATCTCCACCTAATTCTTCTGTTGTAACCGATTAGTGCCACAACCAGAATATTGCTCAACGCAGAGCTCGTACACCTCTACTTAGTAAATAAGTTACATTTAGTCAATCATGTAATAAGTTTCAGGAAAGTTTATTCTATTCTATCAATCAGTAGTAATCAGTTAATCTGTTTACTCTATTTTGATTTTTATACTAATAAATGAATTGTTTCTTAATTAGTGTCCATACCGCACAACACTTTAATAACGTTTTAATCTTTTAGTCAAAAAAGTTTGTATTAAATTTACGAAACAAAGAAGTTTTTCCTCCTATTTGCATATACGCAGATAAAAGGTGCTAAAAATGTAATTGTTGGAGTGTCGATAATAATAGTACACATTGTTCACAGTATCGTAAACACCAGTTATACTAGACCATGACCTAGAACTTTTGCCATCTTGATATTTTTGTTGAAACACAACGTAATATCATGGAAAATATTGATCGTACTGAATGGTGTGGTACAAATAATATTACTGTATAAAGATACAAAAACCAGTGTGTAATTTTATAAGTAGGAAGAAGTACAGACAAGGTTACATTTGGAAATTCATTATATACTGCTTTACGCAACAGTTCAATTGGAAGTCTTGATTCCTTAAATGCCCTGGTATAGTTGAAAGTGAAGAGAATCCATTCTCTCTCCAGAACACTCTCATGCACCCTTATATTTAAAGCCTCTACTATGGACATTCTATTCACTTCGTTCACTAGGAAGGGGTGTTTTTTCGAAAGTGTAAGGACAAAAATCGAACATTCAGCCCTTCCGTTGCAACCAAGTATCAAACTCATTTAGGTTCAAGGATATCTACCAATCCCCTGATAAGCGTAGGCAAGTGTTGGTTGTGTTTGCATGATCCTCTAAAAATAGCTGACCATATAGCTTGCGGCTTCGCTACACCTAGTCTTCAGAAGGAGGACTCCATTAAGCAAATTGGAGATGATGGTACCGGAAGTCGGTGTTGGTTTAAAGTAAGAAATAATCATTATCATCTGACATGCGACCATCGGGCCCTCATTGGTCGCCCAAGCGACTCCCCTCTGTGCCTAGACTCCTGAAGCGTGCAATCAAATCTCCGGTTAGCACTACAAAATCTGTCATATTTGGTGGCGTCATTCATTAATTCGATCATTCAGCGTCTTGAGACTTTTGACAGGATATAGCTTTCAATGGAGGCGAGTTGTTAAGTTAGTTAGAAAATAAACATACATGTAAAGTGAGGAATACAAAGATGACGCCTTATAAAGTAAATTTGTGTGTAACCAAATACTTGTGAATACTGATTGCGTGCAGAGCGAGCACATTTTCGTCAATAGTAATCACCATAGCCTTTGTGTAGTATAGTCAAAAGCTTCGTCCATAAATCTGTATCTGACAAATGAGTTATATTATTATTATTAAATCTGATATCTAATTATTAATGCCTATACTATATCTTATTCTGTTTTGATTTAAGGTCTTACATAAAATATATGGATGAGATCGACAACCTAACTTAATTTATTAAAATCCAATTATTATTGTTGTTAAACTGTATCTTTCATTTTAAAGACAACTGTAAATAACTTTTAGCATACAGTAATCACATCATTTACGTTCTGTTCTATAATTAGCTTGGCAGAGTTATGCAGAGAGTATTGAAATAAACATACTTTGTTGGCTAAGTCATATGGAATACTTTCGGAGACATGGGTTCGTGTACATCTGTGGATTAAAAGACTAAATAATGAATTTAATTTTTATTCTTCATGAATTTTAATCATAAATTACTATACGTCGTTCATATATTTATTCTTCCTCGGAAAAATAACCACTTTTAGCTTCCTCGAAACCTTCGCCAACTCTATGTACATAGTTATCAATCTTTCTTATGGAACCATGTGGCAAGTCTACGTATGACTCATCAGAATCCTGGTGACTTTTTCGCTAAGCCTGGTGATCTTTATTATAATGATCAGAATGTAATAACTACAGATAATTATGAAGATGGTATGTTGTTTGTCAACATATAACATATTTATTTTTAGAAGCTATTTATTTAAGGTCAGTGTTCATCATGCATGGATATCAATTAAAAAATCAATTTTGAAAACCAACCTGCGCATGATAATTATTTGGTTTGGAACTTATCTACAATGTATATTACCCAGTTTTCCTACAGTTAAACTTTTACTAAAATCTTATTTCTATCTAATTACTCAGTCGTTCGTTTCTTAAATTCAACCAATCTATTATAGGTGATTATTCGACGCCGTCAACAGCGATAAATAATAGATTATATTGATTTCAATCAAAGATATGTACATTGTAACAATAAATGTCTGTCATCCTTATGATGACTTCATACATAAAGAGTGTAGCTCATAATCAACTACCTGATCAAGTAGTTAGTAAATTAGTTACAATTATAAATTTGTATGCCTCAATAAATTTCTTTCAAATACTAAATAAATCAATATTTGGTACATTTTTATTTTAGATATTAACTTCGACGAATCTGTGTTAGAGACAGACAACTCTTCAATATCATCGGCGAATTCCCTCCCATCATCTAAATTATCATTCATACATCCACTGGTAGTTGGAGAAAATGAAAAAATCCCTTTAAATTCGGTTGTACTTCCTGTTCCTGGTTACGCTGTACAATATCCTAAAAATCATAGTAAATGAAGTTTTTATCTGTTTTTTTATATTGTACAACTCTGCATTTACATATTTGCTTGAATATTAGATTTAATATTCTTTTATATCAAGCCCAATACACGATTCGAGTACATCTGACATTAGAAATGAACCACTTACAAAATTTGAGTCTCTTTGATGTGTATATGCTTAAACACAAAGTTCTTGTCCTTTGTTGGAGAATAATAGGGATGGCTGTTGTCAAGATTCCTCAAGTAGTTCCTCAGCTTTCTTGATGTGTTCTTTTTTGTCCATAATCACTATGGTGCGTCCTTTGTCCGCTGGAACTATGACAATATCTTTTCGAGTTCTGAGTTGCTTTAAAGCTTTTTGTTCTTGTGGGGTCCGTTGGTTGTTGTCCTTCATCCGTTGAGCTAGCGGTACTTAAGGATAAGAGCACATACAAACTTGTGGAAATAATAGGGAGGTTTCAGCATGTAACCTGACATTATTATACTCGCTTTGTAATTAGCAGTGAAATGCAGGACGTACGTCCTGCCCCATCTAGAACTGTTCATCTGGATGCACCTGTTAATACTAAAACTCAAGCCCAGTGAAGGACTTTTAGAATACTAACCCGTTATTCTTTAAGCTACTGAATTCAGACAGGCACTAACTGCTTGAGCATCTGGGCTACCTGTTCTTGCCATCTAGATACTTCAACAAGTTATCTATTTTTGTTTGTTTTAATATATCATTATGTTTATTAATTGCATAACCTATTCTGCTGCGTTTCTGAAAAGTGTACAACCTTTCGTTGTCAATGTTACAAAAAATTCAATAAGAGACAATGTGGTTACTGGCAATATACAACGAAAAGAATGCACATTACTCAGATGTTCATTTACTGAACTGCTAACATCTAACTGGCGATCACTCACTATTTATCTCCAGAACCGACCAAGAAGAAAGAAACGGAAACACGTTGAAATACTTTGCGCTGAGAATCCTATATTGTACCAAAAATATAATATTGAATAAAGCTAATAATAATAATAATAATGATTTTTATTCGTAAGGGTTTTCTTCATGTTAAAAATAAGTGATACTACGTTACCTTAAATGTAGTTCAATACAAGACCTTTGAGTAGCATCAATGCTGACTGTTCGGGAGAAACGTGATGGAATATGATCAATGTATGACAGACAGTCATAATGATAAAAACATTTCACCAAATAAAGTTCTGTCAGTTTCCGTATTTCTGATTTATCTTTGGCGGTCAAATTATTCCTTTATTTCAATGTCGATTAATGAACCAAGTGAGAAAGAGTTATCTGATAAGTTCCTTGTCTCAATAGCTCATTTTAAAGTGATGTATCCGTCAGGCTGGCAACCGATATAAAAAATAACTTATTTTATACTTATCTACGCAATCGACAACTTCCTCTGAACATGTGATAGCAAATTCAATACCCTCCTCTCGATCCAAACATTTTCTAGACTTAGAAAAGCTTAATTTTGCCTTGGTACTCCTTTCAACTCTTGAATTACATAAAGCAATTCAACTAAAACCTTTATTGCTTTCTCATATAAGTACAAATTCTACAAGATCATTATACAATTACTATTTGCTTATTCTCAATAATTGATTTAGGCGCTGATTGGTATACCGAATTACTAAAAGAAGATTGTTTGACAGTCAAAGATTTCAGTCATTCAGTTAAGTAAGTCCAAGTCTCTAATATCTTTTTTCGTGTAATCCTGATTTTTGTATACTTTTTACACTAGACATTAAAAAAATAATAATCAGTGAAATATCCTCACAATAATATACTCCTTTCTAATTTCGTATAACCCTTTTTAAGTCATTGTACAGATTAAATCTCCGCACTAGACCATTGAAGTGATAACACATAATGAAGATTAAACACACTTACTCAACTATTTATTAAACCAAATGAATATCATATATATGTGAATCAAAAGTTTTCTACCCACTCAGCTGCAGCAACTATTTTACTCACCTATCATTTGTGAGATGAATGAATACTAATGCCATCGTCTCTAATGTCGTCACAGTGCAAACAATGGGGGGAATGTTAGCGACTGTGATGTCTTCGTTTTCCTCTTTTTCCAGCATAGCAATAGGCTGTAAATTTTTTATGCCATTCATAATTATTCAGTTAAAGCAAATCTAAGACAGGTTTGTTGGACCCAAAGTTTGATCCCTATAATTATTTGCGATTTATTGGCAATGACCATCTGTCGATTTTTTTTTACTTCCATCTCAATGTACATGTAAAATTTGTATTTTAGTGAAATTTCATTGTTGTTGTAGAGATTTTGCACTCCCTGGTTCTTATCGGAAATTAATTGTTGTCCCGGAAAAAGTTAAATACGAATTTCATGAATATTCAAACCCTGATATACCTCTAGTGAAGTCTGATCTTCAGTTACTAAATGGTACAATTACTAGTAGTATTTTAACTCCTGCTTCACAAAATGAGACACAAAATAATGATATCTGCTTAGATAAAGGTAATTAAACCATTTTTTTTCAATACTTTCATTCGTGTGCATTTTATCAATATCTCATGTTATATGAAATGCCTTTGACTTCCGTCATACTTCGTAGGTTTTTCAAAACTTACTTTACTTTACTTACCTACTTACTTACTTTAAAAAGGGTTCACGTCGTTTTTGTAACAACTATCGTGGGATAAGTCTACTTCCGATTGCGTCCAAACTATTGGGTTCCGTCATACTTCGCAGGTTGTTCAAAACCCGAGAAAGATTGACTCGCGAGGAGCAGGCTGGTTTCCGTTCTGGTCGAGGATGTATTGATCATATCTTCACCCTCCGCCAAATGTTAGAACACCGTCACACTTATCAAAGGTCAACAATCGTAGTGTTTCTTGACATCAGGGATGCCTTCGATTCGTTGGACAGGACTGTTTTCTGGGATTGTCTATTGAAGAAGGGTGTGTCTGAAAGGTTTATTAACATCCTAAAAGCCCTATATACAAACACCTCAGGCATAGTGAGGGCATACAACCACCTTTCTTCATTGTTCCACTCGAGCAGTAGGGTTAGACAGGGTTGCCCGATCTCATCATTCCTCTTCAACTTTGCCATCGACGACATTCTGGAAACAGCTCTGATGGTTGTAAGTAATGGCGCTGTGGATCTGTTGCCTGGAGAAAGACTTCTAGACCTTGAGTATGCGGATGATGTTGTCTTACTGTGAGATAATGCCCAAGGTATGCAATCCGCAGTTAATCAGTTGGTAATCAATGTCCGTAGGTACGGTATGCGCTTTGCACCTTCGAAGTGCAAAATACTTTTACAAGACTGACAGGATTCTAGCCCTGCACTCACTCTGGATGGTGAGCAGATAGAAGTAGTCGAGAGGTTCGTGTATCTGGGTAGCTGCATAAGTGCTGGTGGGGGTGTGAATGATGAGATCAATGCACGTATAGTGAAAGCCAGAGCGGCTTATGCCAATCTGGGCCATCTTTGGCGCCTTCGTGATGTCAGTCTGGCTGTAAAAGGTCAAATCTACAATGCGTCAGTGAGAGCAGTTCTGTTCTATGCTTGTGAAACCTGGCCTATCTGAGTTGAGGATGCTAGACGACTCTCTGTGTTAGATCATCGTTGTCTCCGAAGGATTGCTGACATCCAGTGGCAACACCATGTTAGTAATGCAGAGGTTCGGCATCGTATATTCGAACGCAGAGACGACAGTGCGATTGGTGTCACCATCTTGAAACATCGACTTCGGTGGCTTGGACATGTTCTACGAATCTCGTCCCAGAGAATTCCATGTCGTGCATTATTTGCCGAGGCTGGGGCTGGTTCGGTCAGTCAGTAGCAACGTAGAACTTCGTACGTACGTACATCAGTTCGAGTTGCCACACCACATTAGCTCAGAGATACAGTGGTCGATTCAAATCCCGTTGTGGTAGAGGTAATAAGAGTATAAGCAGTAATCGGGAAGATTAGTGTTTGGAGATGTAATTTAAACAGTAGAATACAGTGAAATAAATTTGATAAGAAAACAAAGGACATGGAGAATTCAGAAGATTAGAATTTGGAGGAACACAAAGATCATATGCACCTGCGCCATTGCAAACGATTTTGAGCCATGTCATTCAGGGTCTCTAACCATCGATTGCTACCATCTCGCGGTCCCCAACCAGGTAGTCTACATCTACCAACATGACTCAGACCACTTGTCAGTGAATTCATGGACTTGTGCCATGTTTTGGTCTGGCCGCCCCTGGCTTTCTTCAAACCTACTCCTATACCATCGCACGTCGAGGCAGTCGGTCGTTGGGCATACGTAACACGTGTCCCAGCCATCTCAACTGATGAAGTTTCACCACTTCATCAATTGATTTGCCATCCTTACCTAGTACCCGTTTCCTAACAACTGCATTGCTTACTCGATGGTCCCAGGATATACGAGCAATACTTCGAAGACACCTATGATCGAATACTAGTAACCTGCGAATATCCTCTACTCTTACCGTCCATGTTTCACTGCCATAAAGTAGGACGGAACGAACTGCTGCGCAGTAAACCCGTCCTTTGGTTGATAGACGGATATCTCGCCTACGCCATAAATGACGCAAGTTGGCATAAGCTAGTCGAGCCAGCCTGGTTTCCTCTAGCCTGCCCTTCACGAGCTTTGGTTAGGCGTCGATGTATTATGGAAGCTCATATTTTAGACACTATATTAGTCAAACTGATTCCTCCATGATTGTCACAAGAGGACTTTTGTCCTTCCTTAAAAACTGGCACAATCAGTGATTGAGATCAGTCAGATGGGATTACGTCCAGTTCCCGAATTCTACCTAAGACCTCAGTTAATCTCACTGCTAATACTGAACTACCATCCTTAAAAATCTTACGAGTAAGCCCGTTAGGGCCTGCTGCTCTCCCTCGCTTCAGATTTCCTATGGCTTTTTCAACTTCGTAAAGAGACGGAGGACCTACATTAACTTGCCATTCAGGTTGACTGGAGATCGTGGGAAATCGAAGTGTGACTGAAGGCCAGTTGAACTGATCCGTGAATTATTTTGCCCATCGATCCAATCTCCTGGATTGAGAATGTATAATATGTCCATCCTTCTCTGAGAGTGTTTCGCTAACAGTCGGTTTCCTAATACCGGTTTCCTTAACAAGTCTGAACAATTGTCTGCTATTACCTATCGCCGCTGCCTTTTCCATTTCTCTTGCTTTCGCTAACCACCACTGCCCACGATCATTGCGTAGACTTCTTGTCAGCTTGCGCTTAAGCTGACTCCGCTCTTCATTAGGTTCAGAGCCAGATGGAATGAGTTTCCGAGCATCTATCATTGCGATAGATGTTGCTGATATCTAGTGTTGCTCCCTAACCTTACTGTTTACCGTACTAGAAGATGTCACTGCTGTTTCCGCAGCTTTTCGGATATCATTCCACGATGCCTCGGGGTGGGCATCACTTACATGGCTGCCTAACTGTTTTCCTAGTTGTTCCTGAAATATACTCTTAGCTTGACTATCATTAAGTAGGGCCCTAAGAGGTTTACTTGCAGCGTCTTTCCTACGTCCAGTAAGACGCAGACAGATACGCGCTCGTACTAGAGCATGATCTGAATCTAAGCATGTGCTCCAGAATGAACGACAGTCTTCTATCGAGCCCCTCCATCGGTGGCTGATAACGATGTGATCTATTTGGGTCCAACGTTGGGACGAATCAGGGGGTCGCCATGTTAAAAGATGTTTTTCCTTATGCTTAAAGTTAGTAATTGCAAGAAACAGGCGGTTATCTGAACATAGCTGCAACAGACGGTCGCCATTATCTGTTCTTTGAGTCATGATGCTATAAGATCCATCCAGGTGTCTTTCCCTATCGCTTAGTTTACCTACTTGAGCATTAAAGTCACCAGCCATTATTACTACATCTGACCGCCTAGCTTTTCGGAGAAGGTCGGAGAGCTTTCTGTAAAACTCATCTTTTACATCACTGAGCTGCAGTCAGTGGGAGAATAGGCAGAGACGACGAAGAGGCAACGACGAGTGTCCCTATCTTTTCGGATCCTTACTGTTCCGTTCAGTCGGACAGCGCACAAACGACTGTCTCCTGGGATCCACTCTAAGAGAGCTAGTTCTGCCCTAGGACTCAATGCTATACCTACACCGGCGAGGCCACGGGAAACAGAATCAGGGCTTCCAGATACACGAAGTGTGAATCGAGTCGGTTCCTCATTTTGGCATGGTGAGGTCAGACGAATGACGCTACTCGGATCCTGTATGCGCGTTTCGGAGACGCAGCACACATCGATGGCGCTGGATTCTAAAGTCCTAGCTAAGGAAGCCTGTTGTCCTATTTGGCACAGTGTTCGTACGTTAAAAGCTCCAACGTGTAGTTTAGAGCATGGTTTCAGGAGACTATTAATAGCATTCCGCGAACTCGAATCGTTTGCCCTAGCAGTGCGAGGTGATAAAGAGACGTGAGGAGGGTTAGTCATGGAGATAAGAGATGTATTAGATGTAGGAAGGATTTGAATGTGACCAACTTGGTTTCGTGCGCTGTTACGGCTATGAGGGCTGATATCACTTCCCGGCTGTCCACACCGTGAAAGGGTATTTCTTGAGGAACCTGAAAATGAAATTGGATTAGTGTTGGTCATAACGACCTGGCAGCGTGACCGCAGAGCCCAAGGTACAACTGCCTGAGGCAAGTTGCGCACGGCCGTTTAGTGGAAGGTTTTTAATTTGTTAGCTTCGTTCTTCAAAAAGCCTTACCGCCGGAGCCGAAAATCAGTGAGGTAAGGTGAGGCGCGACATTATAAGGGTCGACCTTTTCTAACCCACCCCTCCTTGTGGGAAGGCAGCATCGCTGCAGATGCTGGTTGTCCGAGGGAAACGCCTTACTGCTGCCACACCCCTCTACAGTCAGCAGTAAGACTTCGCCCTCAGACCTTGAGTTGCTGCTTTTAGTCTTACCGTTCTCCTATCGACTTGCCTGGCATGGTAGAACCTACAGGAACATATGTTCCAGCCAATATAGCTCGGTTGGGTCATCACGATAGGCAAGCCCCACCACCGCGTCAGGGTAGCAGCTTCGGTCGGGCTGGGACTGATTGGAGAAAGCGGAGAGGTAGTCAGTGTATGACATGGTGTGAAAGAAAGCTGCAAATGTCTGGTTTCTAGCGGCCCTTCACGACTCCCTAGTTGGGGTCCGAGAAATGGTGCAACACAGTGGCTAGAGACCTTATCAGATATGGCTCAGAATAGAAGCCAATGGCGATCTTTCTGTAACCTTCTATTACTTTCTCCATAGAAAGTGGTTGTATCTTCCGTAACTGGAAGATATCTTCTGGTTGTACCTTTCCGTTTCGCCCACTATGATTATTACTATTATCAGACTACCTTACACTAATCTGGCCGTTATTGTTTTTTTTATTTTACGCTCCTTACCTTCTTTTTTCTTTCTTCTCATTCTGATTGTTTTGTGTGGCGTATATATATTTGGCGCCCTATCGTACCAATGTTTGTGTGTTCAAATAAATAAATATACGCTTAAACATTTAAAAGATAGTATGTCTCTTTATGCCGACATATTTCACTGTTAAACTTCAGTCATATTGTGCGTAACTGTATCAACAGTGCATTTTGTTTGTGCGGCTCCAACTTTTAATTTAAAGGTGTTTACTAACAAAGTATTTCGTAGATAAACAAAAACGAAAAATACAAATATTTGATATACGGGTTGTGATGTACTTATCCAGTTTATTTCCACTCTTAGCTGGATGTTTAAAACACAGTATTACATCTGTAACTGATTTACGCTTATACAACTTTCATGAGTTTTAGTCACCAAAGTGGTGGCACCATTAGCCCTCATTCAATAGATATCGCTCATTTCAAGATTCATTCGCAGACTGTATGATGCTACATTTCAGGTAGTTGAGAATTTGTGTATTATTTTCTCTTAACAGCTAGTTATTATGCCTTTAAAGAATTAAACTATTCAACGTGAGATAGATCTTACAATGAAATATCCCTTATGTTTACTATTCGCTATTAATGTGCTTGTTAAGCAACTAGTTTTTAGTAAGATTATCCAAATAAATGTAAAAGAGGTTTCTTGTCATCAAATGTGTAGTATCACAAAATAAACAATGTGTCTCAGCTTGATAATGCTCCACATTATTCTTTAATTTTCCTATTATCCATTTATGAAACCCGTGAAAATGCGCATGATTTACCGCTGAGCTGCAAATTTCAGAAATCTGTTTCACATCCTAGTTAGCAACGAAGATCTAAAAACCTGGAGTTAGGCAGTCTACTTATTCATAACTTACTCGCGCTCAAGATAAGTTGATCCGTTCTCGAAGCAACATCTAAGGACCATGGCAATTCTTGTAAGAATGTCTCTTAAAGCTGTGTGTAGGTTATTAATAATAAGGTTTCTGTAGACATTTTATGTTAATTTTTATATCCACGTATAAGAAGTGATGTTCTCACTGTATTCATGAAATCCTATTTATTTTAGATGGAAAACAGCAGGCTATCGTCTTAACGTTTAATTTACCGAAATCCAGTTACGCTACCATGGCAATACGCGAATTAACGAAAACTGTTATAGAGAAGAAATAGCATTTTATGAATATTCCTTTCTGAAACTTGATTACCTAAACCGCATCCCGTTAAATTTTGTGTACTTTCCCTTATTGTTAACAGTTCTCAATTGCTATGATCTATGTATATTCTACTTGGGACAATTATCCAAACAGAATTTACCACTTTGAGTAGCCCAAAAAATAGTTCCTACAAGAGTCAGTTAAAAACAAGGAAAATTAATCAGACATAAGTTATTATTCTATTGAAGAAGAGTAGGAATTTTTAATGACATATTGTTTTTTATGTCTTATTAAGAATTACGTAGTCCTTCGCCTACTGGCCTAAAATCCAAGACGTGAAAGTAATGATGAAAGCTCGAAAGTTGAGTGTCGTGTCGGCGAAACTCTCCATCTACTAAATGCGTGATATACGAATAACTCTCCTGTTTGTACACTAGCTTTGTACTAATTATGAAACTTTATGATAATAGGTCAGCAACAACATGTGGGAGAGAACAGAACTTCCAACTGAATTGGAAATTAGGAAAAGACGCTGGAGGTGGGTAGGACATACATAAACTGCATCACGATACAAGTGCTTACATAGAATGCTGAAGAAAAACGGAAAATAAAAAGGCCGAAGAGCACTACGTCGGGAATTGGAAACAGACAACAAAAGGATGAATGGCCCAGGACAGAGTTTGATGGAGAATACGAAGGGTAACAAGCCTAAGTTATGAAAATCGGTAGTAAATTTCTGAGGGGAATTTGTGCAGCATATTTCAACTGTTGTGTGATACTTGGTTGAATCAACCTTTATTGTTATGTAGGTACTGCGCTAATGGTTAAACGATGCAGCTCAGAAAGCACAGGTCACCAAAAGCTAGTTTCAGCATCACCTTACAATTATCATCAAGAATTTTGTAGAACCATCAAATTTATTTTACCTTGCGTCAAATTGTTTTTGACTAATTAGTGCGTCCCAATTAATTTGCACCTTACAACCCACGGTGTATGAAATTTTAAATACTTTTGGCTCACATTTGGCCTATTCGTCGATTTGTTATAGCAAGGACAACCATATGTACAAGCGCTTATAAAAGAATAAATATTTTATAAAAATTCAATTTGTTATAAACAACTATACAGTGTTTCATCCATTCAGGTTTAAAAGTACTTGATATCTGTTTAGTACATTAACATGTTATGGTTCCAGATCGAGGTTTACCCGATGTATGGAGGCCTTTAATTCGTCCATTTGAAATTCTTTGATACCCGCTATTAACTAGTGCTTCTTTATAACTTCCTCTTGTGAAACCACTAGGATCACGACGAAACGCTGAATCAGCTAGAATATCTAATCTTCCATCTGTTTCGCCTAAAAGACATTGTGATATTTCTGAACCTTGTGCCCAGACGTTGGTTCCATCCGTTCCAGTCTGTTTTCTTTTCATTCTTAGAACTAGGCATTTGTACCGAACAGCCAAAATTATTGTACTTGTAAGGAAAAGGACGACGATTAACCCAGAACATACTACATGAATAAGAAATTTAAATGTAAAACACGAACCATGATGATTGAACTATTGTTGTAAAAAATTTACGTACTAGAGTTCATAGTAAAGATCTAACATTCCATAACTATACTTACCTGCTGTAATACAGAATAAAAGTTTTGTTAGGCATATATGATCTTGTCTGAATTCAGCTTTTTGCTTCAAATCAAGAATCCATTTTGGCAATGGACCAAACCATTTATCGTCCGCAAAATTACACATATGTGGGTAAGAATCATCATCGTAATTTGTCACGCTACTACTGTCTACTTCGGATTTACATACAAGTAGGTTAGCATGAGTTAAGCAACTTTTCACTGCAGATGATTCGGCTAGATGTAACTGAAAAGAGAAAGGATTAACAAGTTACTCAAACTCTTCAAATTATAATCATTATGTAATTGAAATATATGTAACAAATATGGTTGCTGTTATACAGATCAGGTGGCTGTTCATATTCCACAAAAAATTCACACATTCTTCATAAATTTCGTTTGTGATAATAATCTTGATTGAAGAGATGTACCAATAAATTTCTCGGCATTATAGAACAAAACTGTCCTAGGAAAGTATATGTTTCTGAGAACGAGATCGATACGATTCGGAAGCTTCGTGCAAACATGTCAAGTCAAATGACAGTAAAAGCATTCCGGAAAATTCTTTCATAATCAGTATGATCACTCTGTGCTGATCCAGTTTTAGTGATTAGATTGACTGAGATATTAGCTACAGTTTCGAAATTAAATGCAATTTAGTGACTAGGTTAAATCGCTGATTGTTTCAGTTTATAAGAAATCCTCTTGTGACAACCACAGAGGAATCAGTCTGAGTGATAATATGGCTAAAAGACCAACCTTATTAATTATCCGACGCTTAATTAGGGATTGCGATGAGTTAGCTCGAGAAAGCCAGACTGATTTTAGGCCAGTACGTAGGTATGTAGATAAGATATTCGTATTTTGCTAGCTTATCGTTGTTCTTGGGCATAAGAAAGCGTTTCATGGCGATGACTGTTGATGAAAGGCATAGAAACAATTACATTACCTTTGTATAAACTCTTTACTCAAACACAACTGGTCAAGTCAGAGCTTATATTGAATTGTCATCGGAATTGATTACTTCAAGTGATGTTTATCAGGGTTTCCCGCTTTATTTTTATTTAACTTTGTTGTTGATATACATTCAGAGATACTGCTCTTGTCGTCTGATTTATCAGGAATCGACCTTCTACCAGGATATTCTCTTGTTCTTTTGGAATAGATCGATGATAGTCCAGTTTGATTGCTTAAAACAATCCGAAAATGTTTGGGATGCGTTTTCTCCATCGAAATGCAAAATGTTGACACAGAACCTGCATCAACCCTTGAATTAATTATAGGGAGTGAAGTAAAATGTGTATTCTGTTTAATTTTGGAAGCTGAATGTTTGACGAAATCTCGACGCGAACTTAGCACACCCGGTCCGCCATTACCAAACTACATCTCCTTTAGTGTGAACAAGACTTCCGTCTCGCATCCAGAGGACAACTATACAGCGCAGCACTCTGATATTCGTAAGTCCCTAGTATACAACCACATGTACATGTTGGAACCACTGAATGCCCCAGTGCTGAGCTTAGCAATGGAGTACTAGGTAGGCATGGCGGATCAACTGGTGATGTAGGGAGTTTCCAGCGGATAAAGTGGTTGAAATCTGTACTAAGTGCGTCTAACCATTGCTTACCTCGATGTGCGATGATAGATGGTGTAAGAGCAAGTTGTAAAAAGGTTAGGAGGCTAAATAGAAATGTAGTATCAGTTCGTAAAGTCAGTAACAATCGTGCTAAGCTGCAATGGCTGGAGATTGGAACATACATTGGGAGTTCCATTGTTAAAATCAATTGTGAAGGAATGAAAACGGATTATAATAAGATAACATGAAAAAGTGATGAATTCACTACGCATGAGAATATTCTTAGTATTAGTTAAGAGAAAGCAAGATTATGATTTACCTGAGATCCCGGAACTTTTTCAACTGTCAGACACATTCTTTCGCCACTTTCGATATTAGGATAGTCCATTGTAGCTTCTAGAACATCTCCAAGGTAAAAGACGACACCGCTGTGAGTTTTATTCTCAGACGTTTTACTTATTGGTGAAATAACATCATCCGACTGTAATGTTTTGTAGAAATAACGCATATCAGTAACTTTAGGAAGCAGGCTATTTAAGAAAGAGCATTTGTCAGCTGCCTGAACCCAGCTCCGGATTGTTACATTCCTGTACCATGTAAAGTTGACTCTTCTTCCATGTAATCCAACCCGTTCTATGCGATAACCTTCTGGTTGTTCAGTTTGCAGTAGGCTTTCAGTAAAGAGTAAATGAATTGAGTATATAACAATTAGTGATGCTTGTGTTATTTTCATCATGACACAAGTGATATACAGATATGAATCTGTGAAACTGAGACAATAAAATGTTAATATAACTATAACGAAATTGATACAGCACAAATAAACATTAAAGAAAATCTGATTGGTTAGTTACAAGTATTCCATAATTATAAATTCGTATTTGCAAATTAGAATGCAGAAATATGTTAATTAGCATTAAACAAGCAAATGACAAACCTATTATTGTAGAGAACGCTAGTGAGTAACTATGAAATTTCACTATGTTGGTTTGATGAACAAATAGTAAGTACGTATTTTATGCATCACTGGTGAGATAGAACAACACAAAGATAATATTATACACGATAACTTACTTAACCAAATTTATTTATTTGGTCGGCAGAAAATAAGCACCAACAGTTGTGATCTTTGATCACAAGGACTAGTTTACATAAATGCACAAAACTTAAAAATAAATAACAGTTCAGTCATCGATGTAATAGATTGACAAATCGTTTCCGAGAAATCCTCAAGTTAGTTACTTTGATATTGGTTCAACCAACATCACGATAAGTCAGAGTGGAAGTTAATTGGAAATATTTTCTATGTATAATGCAGTGATTGTTGATGAAAAAAGTGGAAAGATTTCTATATCATTCGAAAGGAACAAAAAAACTTTCATAGCCTTTCCGTAAAAACGACATTAACTTGAAATAACAACCAACCTATAACCTTACCATATTGGTAAAGAGAAATCTTATTTCATTTATTTATTTAAGCACTTAAAAATTGGTAAAGGTGGCACCAAATAAACCACTCGATTTGTATGAGGGCTGGCATACTGCACGGTTATCCAAACTAAAGTAGGTGGTCTAATCCACAAGGAAGTGGAGCAACGTGAGATGCAGTCCCATGGTAGCCGGTCATCAACAATAGGTTCATACTCCATTTGTTCCCTCACCATTGATTAAGAATTTTCCAACTCCCCTAGGTGAGTTCACCGGACCCACCAACTCGGTTAAAGCGCTGGAGATTTGCTTCTCGTCCTCTCAATCTTCTAAACAACTGTAATGCAGCGAGAAGGCAGTGAGTAAGACTTCCCTGATAGCGGTTGCATACGCGCGGTCATATGAAGGCGTTTTGCGGGAGAAATGACTCCTCACTCCTGGGGGAATTCGGGGGGCCAAAACAACTATGCCAGGTTCTATGATAATCGTTATTGAGAATAGCATTAACAGCTATTTACAAAATGTAGAAATTATCTGTACATAGAAAAATCTACATACAGATAGTTAATGCATGTACCGAAAACCAACCAAACAACAAATAGGTTTATCTCCTCAGCTTTAGACACCCCTGAGCGTGAAAGTGAATGATAATTTCTGGTGACCCAAACAGAATTAAAGGGTATCATTCTAATGACAATTCAAACGTTAACACAGAATCATGGCAATTAGTTATAAATGCAGCATGTACTCTAGTCTTACTTGAAAATCCTGTAACATGAATATACAACCTCGATATTTCCGATTCTCGGTTTACCATTTATTTGGCAATGATAAAATATAACACCACAGTGTTGACCACTTCACGGAATTAAGCTTGTCAATTTGTATGTGTGAAAATCATTATGTTCAAAGAACTTGAATGTTATTAGTTTGAGAATCACTGTTACACTCATTTGAAAATATGTGTTTGTATTTCGGCTATAATCAATGAATAGGATCCCTAGAACGATTTCATACTTCAATCCTGAACGAAGGACAGGTAGATATGTTTTCTGATCAAGCAAAAATAATAGCAGATCAACCATGTTGAAAATAAACTTTCCGAACAATTGTTTTTTTTAAATCTAAGTTGAATACAAATGATTTTTCCAATAAATATTGTTTAACGTCAAAACTCAGAAGGGAGTTTTGATTATACTACACACACCTTTGATCCTTATATATTACTTTTGAACTTATCATATTTATAATCTGGTTCTTTTTGTTGGAACGTGCCTGGGAGTAATAATTTTGAAGCACCATCAATATGCTCCCGACAAATACGAGTATTGCAAAAGCATTTTCTGCATTCATGATTCACAGACCTATTGAATATTTACACGGTGATTAATACTAAGTAGGAATCGATAATTTGGTCAGTTAGATAAAGAGCAGGATAAACAATAGGTCAATGTCGTAAAAC